GTGTCGGCTTGTATCGGATCATTTATCTCATATACGAGAGATAAGTCCGTATTTAATTAACTTTCCTTCACAATATCAAGCAGTACCGTAAGATGCTCACATAATAAAATCATTCAGTTTATATTTTGTTGTTTCGAATTATGCCAATATATTATCAAGGTAACAGAGAAAGAAGTGCCTTTACTAGACTTGAGTAGTCAGATATTTTTTGATCGAGTCTTTTTCTCGAGCGAGCCATGCGGCGTTCAATCTAATGGACTCCACGCACTGCTGTACCGTTCTTTCGGTGCCTGGAGTTGGATGATTTTCAAAGAAGCTCTCCACATCTTTGGCTTGTTCTTCACTGACAAAGTTTTCCGTAGTGAACTTAACCAACCGTGCCAATAAAAAGCCGCCCTCATAACGATCTAACAGAGTCTTCCATTTCTCCTTGAAGAAATTCCATGCCATGAGACGTCCTTTGTAGGACAAACCTACAGACATAATGGCAAATACCGTATCTTGAGCACGGACTTCCTCACTCATAGCAAAATCTAGAACCTTTCTTAGCAAAGCTTCATCTTTGATTGCACCAAGAGCTCGTAAAATTCGCTCTTTCTCCTCTTGAAGATCGGCCTCTTTATACAGTTTTATCATAGTCTCGTAAGTGTTAGCATCACCTACAGAAAGCACAGCTCGATAAACTGGACTACGCAAATCAGCAGCGAGCGTCGTTGTGCCGTTCACATGTAGCTCGAATCTTCTTTTCGCTTCCTCGATAGTATCTTGATCGTTTAAAGCTGCCATGCGGCCTAGCACAAGAGATCTAAGTAACGTGTTTAAATGACTTTCATTCGGCTTGGGATCCCAACCTAATCTGGCATTAACATCGTGAAATAATTTACGTCCGAACGCTTTGAAAGAATCTTCAAAGTCTAAGTGCGAAATGAGAATGCCAATTTTGCTTAGAATATTCACTATATTGGACCAAACGGTATAATTGTCCTCATGTAGAAATGCCTGCGTTAATTCGAGCACTTCTACAGTGGATGCGTAACCAGCTTGTACCATTGCAAAGAGATCATCTAATAAACCTAATCTGTCCAAAGGAGGTAACGTGTGATTCTTAATTGCGGGTAACAAAAGTGACAGAGCAGACTGGCTGTAACGAGTTCGATAGAAGCCAATCGTACCAGGATTGATCTTCAACCATGTGCCCTCAGGAACATCTTTAATAACAAATTCCTTGGTTTTCGCGTCTAATACATCGTCGAATATAGTTTTATTCGGATCTTGTGAAGAGCTCACGCTTATCGGTATAAGCCATGAGTCCACATTATTATCTATCGATCCGTCGGCCAGAAATCTCTCTTGAGATAAGGATAAGATCCTATCGTTGCCTTCTTGACGATAGTCGACTTTAACGACGGGGAAACCTTGTCTCTTGGTCCATGATGACATCACTCTACGAACTGCTTTATTACTGGCTTCCTCTAAGGCGGCCCAAAGATCCTCGGTCTCCGCATTGGCATAGCTATGTCTCTTTAGATATAGATTCATACCCTTTCTAAAATCATCATCACCTATATATGCATGCAACATACGAATCACAGAAGCACCTTTGTGATACGATATGTCGTCGAAGATTTCATCGATCTCTGATGGATGACCGACCGGTACTTCAATCGGATGACTGTTCTTCAAAGCATCCAATTCTAATGCTCGGATGTACGTATCCGTCACAAATTGCGTCCAGATATCATATTCTGGGAACAAATGCGCGACGCAGAGAAACTCGACAAATGACGCGTAGCCTTCATTTAGCCATAGATGCGTCCACCATTCCATTGTCACAAGATTACCGAACCATTGATGTGCCAACTCGTGTGCTACTATCAATGCAATCCACTGTTTGCGCACTGCCGATGTATTCTGTGGATCCACAAGCAGACAGGTTTCGCGATACGTTACAAGTCCCCAATTTTCCATAGCGCCGGATGAAAAATCGGCAATCGCTATGAGATCGATCTTCGGCAGAGGATACGCGATACCAAAATAAGTCTTATAATAAGGCAGCACCTTGGTAGCTACTTCCAAAGCAAATTGGCCTTGTTCCTTCTTGGATTTGGGCACATAAACTCGAACCAACACACCGTCACTCGACATGTCCTCTATGTAGTCAAAAACGCCCACTACTACAGCCACTAAATATGTTGACATAATAGGCGTGCTTTCAAAAGTCAAGGTCTCGTAATTGCCATTTGTAACTTTGTTTTTCACGGGCTGAAAATAAAAACAAATGATTATATACATATATACATTTTTTAAAATATTATATATGTACATATGTATTAAACATAAAAAAGAAACATCTATTTAATACAAATATATCTATTTAATATAAATAGAATCAGAAAATAAGAAAAAAGAAAAAATGAAAACAAGTAATACAGATGCCGGGCGCTGCTTACCATATTGGAAAGTGCTGTAAGACCGATTGGTACTTTCAGTGTAATGTCAAATGTGGCTTTTAGTGCTGGTTCATCCCAGCAGGGAAAGCAACGTCTAGCATCTGTTGGCTCAAACTGGGTAACCGCCGCATGTTCAATTGTACCATTCTCTCTGAAATAAGAAAAAAAATGTTACGTTTACCATATCCAATATGGAATATCTAAAATAAAATTGTGAAATATATATGAAAGTTGGAAAATTATTCATTCCAATATGGAAAGAACTTTCGCACTAATATGAAACACAAATAAATTATAGTAATTATCATTTTGCCTTTAAAAGATATATATAAATACATAGTTGAAATATTAATTTTGTTTATCCAGATGTATTATTTTCAAATGTTAAAATTAATAACTAAAATACATGTAAAACATTCTTTTTTCTTAAACAGATAGAGACAAATTTATGATTCTTCTTCCTATATTGACAAATTATATCTAAATATATGATAACAGTAGCTCCATATGTGATCAAGTCATAATATTGATAGATTCTAGATTTATCCCTAATTCTTATTCTAGATATACGAGTTGATTTTTTAAAAGCATTATTAATATTGTGCTTTCCAGATGGCAATAAGTCTAAAAATACTGACAGATAAAAAAAATATAAATGCAACTTTAACAGTCCTTATGTTTATAACATTATACTATAAAAGGGAAAAGGAAATCATTGCATTATTTACTATTTACTTTTAGTGCAAATATTTAAATTATTTATATTAATTATATTTAAAATATTTTTTTCATAAAAAAGCTACCAATGTTAAGAAAATTTGATATGGTATATTAAAGAAAAATATATTCTTACCCAGTATATTTGCTCCTATAAAAGCCTTTCATTTTATCATTAATCTCACCCACGAATTCTATATTCAGATATCCACTTTTACCAGATGGCAGAGCTTCAGAAAACATTAAGGTGGCTGTTTCTTCTGATGCTGATAGTTCAATTTTCTTAGCAGTAATGATTTTATCATCATTTCCATTAAAAGTTGCATTTTTTATGTTAATTTCCAAAGAATTCAAAACAATGGTATCTGTTGGAGATATCACCTATTTCCAGAAAAAAAAAAGAATTGTCATTATTATCATTGGAAAGAAAAATTATAATAATCATACTTTGCAAAATTATTAAAAATATAAAACAAAATTTATAAGTGAATCGTATACAATTATCTCATATCAAAATGATTTTCCATTACGATTTCATTCGCAAATACAATGCCATTGTTGAAAAAAATAATAGATAACATCTGCAAATATGAGCGGAAATAAAACGCAAGTCACTGCGGAATTAACCAGCAGATTGTCGAAAGGATTAGAACCATAATTACCGGTAATTACGAGATAAGGCATCCGCGCTTTAATATTTGCCAATTAAATTTCAAACCTAATGCTATTCAACAGCTACGCTAAATAATTTCTTGGTTATGTTTCCCATATGGTTAGCGGCCGCTTTATTCGCCTTCTCATTTTCGACATATTTTTTTTTTTTTTTTTCCTAATATTCAAGGAGAGAACGAAGAAAGACGATGAAGAGAGATCGGGGTCGGACCCGCGGCGGAACTTACGTCGAGGTACACATTCTCCGTGCCGTCGAAGGTGAACGCGGTGAGATTCGGCACCAGGGAGATATCGTAGTGATAAGGACGCACGCACAACGGCAGCCGGCGAAACGACTTCTTCTCGTCACTGGACATCGCTCCGCGCGGTTTGTTGGCAACTTCGCTCGCTTCGCTGTGTGACGCTTCCGAGCAGTGTGCCGCCGTTTCTCACGGTACTCGCTAATGATAGTCGTTACAGCCGCGACGACGAGCTATCGCCGATACTCGCCGATACTCCCTTCCCTTTTTGCTGACTCACAAAGCGACAGCGAGCAACAACGAGCGACGACGAGCGACGGCGCACACCAACACGTGCAACGACGCGCGAGGAACATCGAGGCCAGAACACACGGCCGGAGATGCAGGCGGATATTGATATCGCGCTCCTATGCGCGATTGTCGGCTGCGTTCGGAAAATACAGCCGTTTAACGAGCACGCGCGCTCGTCATTGGCTGCGTTCAGCGGAGAGAGAGACCAGCTTTGCTTTACTGTTACAAGAGTCTTCAATATGATTGGTTTATACATTTTGGAGACTTCCAAACCGAGAAAACCTCTCCGAGAAAAAGTTTACTCGATATAATATAATATACGTCACGTGTACTATATATTTCTGTGAGGAACTAAAGGACGATGCTTAGGAATTTTTTAGTGGAATTTTTCACCTATTAAAAAAAAAAAAGTGATAAAAAAATGACAAATATTTTTATTATTTATCTTTTTGAGAACTTTCTTGTAATATTTTGTAATGTAATCCGCATAGAAAAGTAGTATAACCATCAGTATGGATATTTCGCGAAAAGATGCGTCGTTGCGCAGGCTATTTTTATTCGGATGAAATTTAACGCGGACAGAAAATATCTATTACTATAATTTAAAAAGTAATTATACTGTTATTACATTATGCTTGCGAAAAGATATTTATTTCTCTATTCGTTCTTGGATTTCCAATTATTAACATGGCGGAATGATCCCTTAATCAAGTTATGGAGATGAAAGATACCAACACGAAGTGCCTATATTTTATATCGCGCTGGAACTCTATTCCGCCTATTCTAGCTTCTGGCGTGCGCTTCTCGGGTGGACTCGGCTGGTTCGCGACTTTCGTTCGGTATGAGGTGGTGGGTAGCGGTATTCGCATAACAATCGGAATAGGTTTCCAACGAGCGCTCCGGTCGGTCTCCGATCGCGGATGATCCTCCGAGACTAGTGGCGGTGTGCGCGAGCGCTCATTGTCAGCGAGATAGCGCAGGCCGACGGGGTCGTGAATCTCGTGGAAGAGAAGAAGAGAGAAATACATAGAAAGAAAGAGAGAGAGAGAGAGAGAGAGAGAGAGGAGGGGTGTAAATTGTGTACCGATGTGAACTTGCCCCTCTCGTGGGCCGAAAGAAGCGATCTCGGTGGTGGCAGCGGACTTGGCGTGGTGGTGATATTCTCACGGTGGCGAGAACGACACCGTATAGGACGAACTCATCGCTATCGCCGCCGCTGCCGCCGTCGCCGCCGCCGTTGTCATCGTCATCATCATCATCATCATCATCATCGACGGGGACAGGTGCGGAGGCGGTTTCATGGCGCGAGGCGAGGCGACAGGTACCGCGCGCGTCCCAGCGGAATACGAGACGATCGCGCGAGCGACGTGAGGGAATCGTGTGAGGGAATAGGGAGCACGGCGATCGAGATCGGTCGTGGGGAAAAACACGGCGGCGGCAGCGGCGCGTGCACGCGCACGCACCCGAGAGTGCGTTACCGCCCATATGTGATGTGTCCCGTGCGTGCGAGCGTATGAGTAATCATGTATTGTCAGGACAAGAGTTCGACCGCCTCCAAGAGCAAAGAGGGTAAGTCCGCGGGCGCGGACACCGCTTGGCCGCGCGATCCACTCCGCGATTTCGCGCTCGCCCCCTCCCCCCCCCCCCCGACCGAGCGACGTTCCGGCTTCTGGCCGTTTCTTATCGGCTTTTGGCCGCTTTTGTGCGCGCGGGCGAACGAGACGTGCATGCATACATGAATGTATATCCATATACATGCATCGCACGCACACACACGTGTGTGTGTGTGTGTGTGTGTGTGTGTTAGAAATACGTACG